CCTATCCCAGGCTGGGGGCCACCCATCATCTAGACCAGGGGTGGGCAAAGGGCGTCCGTGGGGCAGCTCCGGCCCGCCAAGCGGGTTGATCTTTCCCGCGGCCGCCCTGCCACTCCCCTGCCCCCAGGCCAATGAGACCTAGGAAGGGGGGAGTGCGTGAAGATTCCTCCCCACCCAGCGGAGCAGCACCTAAAGGGAACCACCGCCGGTTGTTCTCTCTCAGCGCTGGGGTGGGCAGGTGAGGCAAAGACTTCACACACGCCCCCACCACCAGGCCAATCAAGATCTGCGGGCAGGGGAACATGGGAAGTGTCCGATAGAGGCAGCAAGTGGGGGGCGGGGGCAGAATGCAAGTAGCCGACCAATCGACGACTCTGTTACATCCCTAGACTGCACTATCCCAGGCTGGGGGCCACCCATCATCTAGACCAGGGGTGGGCAAAGGGCGTCCGTGGGGCAGCTCCGGCCCGCCAAGCGGGTTGATCTGGCCCGCGGCCGCCCTGCCCCTCCCCTTGAAGATTCCTCCCCACCCAGCGGAGCAGCACCTAAAGGGAACCACCGCCGGTTGTTCTCTCTCAGCGCTGGGGTGGGCAGGTGAGGCAAAGACTTCACACACGCCCCCACCACCAGGCCAATCAAGATCTGCGGGCAGGGGAACATGGGAAGTGTCCCGGCCCCGCCCCTTCCACCTGAGGCCCCTCCCCTTCCAGGGTGGGCCGGGGCCACTTCAGAAATTCGTGAAGTGGTCCCCCTTCCAAAATTATTTCCCACCCCGATCTAGACCCTCCCTAACAAATGTTTGTCTAACCTGCTCTTCAACATCTGCAATGATGGAGATTCCACAACCTCCCTAGGTAATTTATTCCAGTGCGTAACCACCCTGACAGTTACGAAGTTTTTCCTAATGCCCAACCTCAACCTTCCTTGCTGCAGTGTAAACCCATTGTACTAGCCTCAGAGGTTCAAGGAGAACAATGTTTTTCCCTCCGCCTTGTCACACCCTTTTAGGTATTTGAAAGCTGCTCTCATGTCCCCTCTCCGTCTTCTCTTCTCCAGATTAAACAATCCCAGTTCTTTCCGTCTTCCCTCGTAGCTCATGTTCTCTAGACCAGTGTTTCTCAATCTTTTTCTAGAAAGTACTCATTTAAAAAAAAAAAGTACCCCCAGTACCTACAGTTTTCAGACACACAACATTTTTTTCTACCATAGCCGGGCGGGTGATTAAATTTTTGGGTGAAAAAAGTACAAAAATAATAAAGCGCTGTAAAACTTCAAACAAAAATTCAGTTTTCTCCAAATTTCAGTTGTGTTGACGTACCCCCCAGACTTCTCTCGAGCCCCTCTAAAAGGACTTGTACCACTGGTTGAGAAACACTGCTGTCGACCTTTAGTCATTTTTGTTGCTCTTCTCTGGACAGTCTCCAATTTCTCCCTGTCTCTCCTGAAATGTGGCACTCAGAACTGGACACTGATTAGGCCTTGGAACCGAACAGTTACCCCTGGGCTGCGTCTAGACTGGCATGATTTTGCGGAAATACTTTTAACGGAAAAGTTTTTCCGATAAAAGTATTTCCGCAAAAGCGCGGCTAGATTGGCACGGATGCTTTTGCGCAAAAGCATCCGTGGCCAGTCTAGGCGCAATTTTGCACAAGAAAGCTCCGGTGGCCATTTTCGCCAGCGGGGCTTTTTTGCGCAAAACAGTCCTTCCCTGTCTACACTGGCCCTCTTGCACAAGTATTCTTGCACAAGAGGGCTTTTTCCTGAGCCAGAGCGTGAAAGTATTTGCGCAAGAAGCACTGATTTTGTACATTACAAAGTCAGTGCTCTTGCGCAAATTCAAGCGGCCAGTGTAGACAGCTGGCAAGTTTTGGCGCAAAAGCACTTGCTTTTGCACAAAATCTTGCCAGTCTAGATGCACCCCTAGTGTCTTGTTTACAACACTCCTGTCATGCCTCCCAGAATGACGTTTGCTTTTTTTTTTTTTCAAAATGTCACGCTGCTGACTCATATTTAGCTCCTGTTCCACTGTCCCCTACATCCCTTTCAGCAGTACTCTAGGCAGTCATTTCTCATTGTGTATGTGTGAAACAGATTGTTCCTGAGCACTTTGCATTTCTCCCCCATTGAATTTCACCCTCTTCATCTCAGACCATTTCTCCAGTTTGCCCAGATCACTTTGAATTACAACTCTATCCACTCAAGCACTATGTAATCCCTCCATGCACCATACCGGAATAAGTGTGTTGTCATGGTTTAGCCAGAGCCCAGGGGTTATGCGACACAGGAATTAGGCACTCTTGTTTCGAATAGGAACGTCTACACAGGGCACACGTGCTAAACCATGTGCACACAAGCTTTTATACCACTAAAATGCAGCCACCTCTGGAACGGAACACAAAGGGGGGAAAAACAACAGCTATAGAACTCACCAGTGTAACTGTCCAAACCTGTATCCCTCCCCTGACATACTGTTTGTTCTCCACCTGGTACATGCTTTTTAGAACAGAAGCAGTTTGGGGCAGATCAGAGCTACGGGGCATATACCATAGGCCCCTGTTCTTGTTTCAGTGCTCCTGTGTACAGTATCGGGCCCTTTTACTTCAACAACTCTTTGTTCACTTAGATTGCAACACGGTTCACACCATCTGGCTGCTACCACTTGTACTGAGTGTTTTACGGCAGTGCGCATCAGCACGTTTAGTTTCACAACAGCTCAGAGCAACCTGGCTAAAATCCAACTTCGGGAACTTTAGTAAGTCTCTAAATCTTTCTATGGTGATTGGGGGTGAAAGCCACTAGCCACATTGATGTTATTAATTTAAAAAAACGCCGGGTAACAATTCACTGCAGTGAGATTCACCGTTCACAGCTACAATTCTGCGTTCCCATCCTAAAACTAGTCCCCTCCCTCGCGGGCGCCAAGCGGGTTGATCTGGCCCGCGGCCGCCCTGCCACTCCCCTGCCCCCAGGCCAATGAGACCTAGGAAGGGGGGAGTGCGTGAAGATTCCTCCCCACCCAGCGGAGCAGCACCTAAAGGGAACCACCGCCGGTTGTTCTCTCTCAGCGCTGGGGTGGGCAGGTGAGGCAAAGACTTCACACACGCCCCCACCACCAGGCCAATCAAGATCTGCGGGCAGGGGAACATGGGAAGTGTCCCGGCCCCGCCCCTTCCACCTGAGGCCCCTCCCCTTCCAGGGTGGGCCGGGGCCACTTCAGAAATTCGTGAAGTGGTCCCCCTTCCAAAATTATTTCCCACCCCGATCTAGACCCTCCCTAACAAATGTTTGTCTAACCTGCTCTTCAACATCTGCAATGATGGAGATTCCACAACCTCCCTAGGTAATTTATTCCAGTGCGTAACCACCCTGACAGTTACGAAGTTTTTCCTAATGCCCAACCTCAACCTTCCTTGCTGCAGTGTAAACCCATTGTACTAGCCTCAGAGGTTCAAGGAGAACAATGTTTTTCCCTCCGCCTTGTCACACCCTTTTAGGTATTTGAAAGCTGCTCTCATGTCCCCTCTCCGTCTTCTCTTCTCCAGATTAAACAATCCCAGTTCTTTCCGTCTTCCCTCGTAGCTCATGTTCTCTAGACCAGTGTTTCTCAATCTTTTTCTAGAAAGTACTCATTTAAAAAAAAAAAGTACCCCCAGTACCTACAGTTTTCAGACACACAACATTTTTTTCTACCATAGCCGGGCGGGTGATTAAATTTTTGGGTGAAAAAAGTACAAAAATAATAAAGCGCTGTAAAACTTCAAACAAAAATTCAGTTTTCTCCAAATTTCAGTTGTGTTGACGTACCCCCCAGACTTCTCTCGAGCCCCTCTAAAAGGACTTGTACCACTGGTTGAGAAACACTGCTGTCGACCTTTAGTCATTTTTGTTGCTCTTCTCTGGACAGTCTCCAATTTCTCCCTGTCTCTCCTGAAATGTGGCACTCAGAACTGGACACTGATTAGGCCTTGGAACCGAACAGCTACACTGGCCCTCTTGCACAAGTATTCTTGCACAAGAGGGCTTTTTCCTGAGCCAGAGCGTGAAAGTATTTGCGCAAGAAGCACTGATTTTGTACATTACAAAGTCAGTGCTCTTGCGCAAATTCAAGCGGCCAGTGTAGACAGCTGGCAAGTTTTGGCGCAAAAGCACTTGCTTTTGCACAAAATCTTGCCAGTCTAGATGCACCCCTAGTGTCTTGTTTACAACACTCCTGTCGTGCTACATTGTCCTGCATTTTGCTTCAGCAGTACTCTAGGCAAAGTGTCACGCTGCTGACTCATATTTAGCTCCTGTTCCACTGTCCCCTACATCCCTTTCAGCAGTACTCTAGGCAGTCATTTCTCATTGTGTATGTGTGAAACAGATTGTTCCTGAGCACTTTGCATTTCTCCCCCATTGAATTTCACCCTCTTTATCTCAGACCATTTCTCCAGTTTGCCCAGATCACTTTGAATTACAACTCTATCCACTCAAGCACTATGTAATCCCTCCATGCACCATACCGGAATAAGTGTGTTGTCATGGTTTAGCCAGAGCCCAGGGGTTATGCGACACAGGAATTAGGCACTCTTGTTTCGAATAGGAACGTCTACACAGGGCACACGTGCTAAACCATGTGCACACAAGCTTTTATACCACTAAAATGCAGCCACCTCTGGAACGGAACACAAAGGGGGGAAAAACAACAGCTATAGAACTCACCAGTGTAACTGTCCAAACCTGTATCCCTCCCCTGACATACTGTTTGTTCTCCACCTGGTACATGCTTTTTAGAACAGAAGCATTTTGGGGCAGATCAGAGCTACTGGGCATATACCATAGGCCCCTGTTCTTGTTTCAGTGCTCCTGTGTACAGTATCGGGCCCTTTTACTTCAACAACTCTTTGTTCACTTAGATTGCAACACGGTTCACACCATCTGGCTGCTACCACTTGTACTGAGTGTTTTACGGCAGTGCGCATCAGCACGTTTAGTTTCACAACAGCTCAGAGCAACCTGGCTAAAATCCAACTTCGGGAACTTTAGTAAGTCTCTAAATCTTTCTATGGTGATTGGGGGTGAAAGCCACTAGCCACATTGATGTTATTAATTTAAAAAAACGCCGGGTAACAATTCACTGCAGTGAGATTCACCGTTCACAGCTACAATTCTGCGTTCCCATCCTAAAACTAGTCCCCTCCCTCGCGGGAATTTTTTTTAAATCAGACCCAAACCGTCAGTATTGTGTGCATAAAGCAGACACTTGTTGTGAAAGCTATTTAGTCAGAAATCTAGGGTTTTTTGGGGCAGAGGGGAAGCAGCCGTGGTGGAAAATGTTGATCAGGGCCCCTATGTATATATTACAAATGTTACACAGTCAGATTTTTCACAACAGCTCTCATGCTCTGTTGATACAATTTTTGTTGATTATATCATAACGTGACTGTTGAGGATTCTAGTAAACCGGTACAATTTGTCTCTTAATAGGGAACATGATTGCAGTTGCCAACTCTCCGAAGGCTAATAATACTGGTTTAGAGAAACTGAGATTGGTACGCGATAGGACAGGCGAGGAAAGGTAAGTCGAACCTGAGCTGAACAGCATGAGACTGAAGGACAGTCTCCGCTAGCCTGGCTCCTGACCAGTGTTTCCCTGTAAACTGTGCGGCCGCTCAGGAGAGATTCTAATGAAGCCCAGCTGATTCGCAGAGCTAAGTTTGTTGTTTCTACAGGAGGTGCACATTTGCACATGCCTCGGCGCATATACAAAAATTATTCCACCCCGGATGGGAAAAATCCACACACGGACAGAAACCATTAGAGAGAACATTGTCCCTGCCCCCGGAGATTGGAGGGAAGGCAGCCCATGGCAGGGGAGTGGGGGATGTCAGGAGCCAGGTTTCTATTCCCTGTTCTGACATCTGGGGCAAGGCCCTTCCTCCGTGCCTCAGTTTCCCCTTAAGGCAGGCATAACAACACTCACCTTTGCCGAGCACTTTGCAGTCTCTGGGCGATAAGTCGGGGTGGGGGAGAAGGGGCTATATAGATATATCCCTTTTAGAAAGGGGCTGTAGGCTGGATCTTCTATTAGCAAGGAGATGGATGGAAGAATCTCGTCCTAGTTCGATTCCGGAGGCACCTTCTGTAGCAGCCAACAGCCGGTGGCACTGGCATTTACGTGCTTTCCACTAAGCCTTCCACTTTGGAGCCCGCCGTGACTGGGGCCCAAGGCACATACATCAGCCACTCCTGGGCTCTGCAGTTCCCACGCAGCGCCCAGAAGCCATACGGCAGCCCCAGGGTGATGGTCCAGAAAGCCCCGGCAGCTGAAGCCAGGGAGACTGCAGCGGGCAGGGCAGGTCTCTCCGATCCTAGATCACACGGGGCTGGAATGGGTTTGGGTAGGGAGAGGCAGCTTCCCCTTGCAGCCCCCCCAGTGGTGTCCTGGTCTATTTCAGCCCCTGGCCGGGTCCACGGCCCTCTTGCTGCAGCTCCTGTCTGGCCCCAACAGCTGCTCAGGCTGCCTGGCCCGGTCCTGAGAGCCAGTGAGCCAGGTTGTATAAGAGGAAGATTCCTAGACTCAGTGGAGTGGGGCTCCACCCCCCTCTTAAAGAGACCGCACGCTTCAAAGATTTGTTTTCTCCTCCCTTCACCACCCAGTCACCCACACTCCTCCCCTAAAGAGGGTTAACTATCGCTGCCACAGACTGGGGGAGTGTTTCTCTGCGTCCCAGGGGGGCTGCAAAACTCAGCATGTTACAATCTGGGGAGCTCTTTCCGCACTGCCCCAAAAAGCACCAATTCAAACATGCCAGGTTAGTGTTCTGGATTCAGGTAGCTCCTAGAAGCAATGTTCCCTCTTGGCTTTTTCCCTCCCCATCCATGTGCGGAATGATTTTTGTTCGGCACACCTAGGCATGTGCAGATGTGCACCACCAGTAGACACACCGGTTGCGGGCGCTCCGTTAATCAGCTGGGCGGCACTGGACTCTCTCCCGAGTGTCTGCCCAAGCGCTCAGCTTGCAGGGGACACTGTCTGGGGTTGTGGTCATGGGATCGGGGCCCCACTGCGCTAGGTGCTGTACAGAGAGAAGCTCAGGATGGGCAGCGGAGACGTGCCCAGTGGGACAGCAGCTAAACTCTGCACTAGCTATTAGTCCATACTGCTCAAAGGTCTCGCTTGGCATATTTCCTTTCCCCACTTAATAGAGAAAGATTAGGGCGTAACGTCACTAACTCACTCCATGTCCCAGCTATCCAGGGCTGGCTGCTTTCGAGGAAGGTGCAAGATCCCAAGACTCACTCAACTGCCCAAAGAGAAATTTCTTCCTAGCCCGTCCCACCCCAGCCCTCCAGCAGTTAGTGGTTAGCTCAGGCCCAGGAGCATGGGAAGGGATTCCAGCTTCCCCCTTTCAGGGGAGACGGACCCAGCCCAAGCAAAGTGGTGGGGTTGGCCCTTCAGGAGGGTGTAGTGTTGGTCCTTTTCTGAAGCTCAGAGCAAGCTTTATTCTAAAGGTATCCCTCGAATGAATGGGGACGGATTGCACTCCTTTGTTTACAGGGACAACCCTTTAATTCTCCTTAAGCCCTGGCCTTAAGCCTGTCCTGCAGCAGGGGGTTCCACAGATAAATTATGCACTGTTCATACTCATTCCTTGTCATCCCGAGCCCTTGGTAAAATGCTCTGAGCTCTCCTGCTGGGACATGCTGTGCTGTGAACGGGCTGTTATGAGCTCTCCGGAGCAGGCTTGTCTCTTTGCTCTTTGCTTGCACAGCACCTGACACCCTGGGGGGTTGCTCTGGGACTCGGCTGCAGCACCCACAAACAAAGCCCTGCCAACGCTGTGGCCTGTTGCACGCATTGTTGAAATCCTGCCTGGGCAGTGAGCGCAGCATTAAGAGGCTGCAAAGCCACCCCGCTGCAGCCATAAAGAGCTGTTTACCTAGGGTTGCATAGAGAGTCCAGGACAGGACAGAAACCATAACAGCCATGGGGATTGGGCAGGAAGCTGTCTCCGCTCCGAGCAAGAACAAACAAATGAATTCATTGCCGGAACCGAGACTGCCAAGCGGCGGCCAAGAGCTGCTGTGAAAAACGATCTCAGCAGCACATGTCTGCTGTGGGATTTGCCCCAGCCCTTTCCGTGTGGGGATGCCTGACATTCCTTACCTGCAGGGCAGGGTGACGATGCCCCGTGCCTAACCCTGACTACAACCGGCCGTTTCAGCTGGCCCTCACCAAGTTCTCCGGTTTGCCAGCTGCAGTCTCCTGTTTAACTGGGCGCGCACTCGCCTGCCTGTGGTTTGGTGGAACAGACCTCCTGGGAATCTGCCCCCAATCCAGAGGGCTCCCTGGTGCCCCAAGAATGCCATGGTCGTGGCACGGGGGAGCTGGCTAGGTAGTGGCCATCTTTCTGTGGCACTAGGGGAGGGAGAGAGTCAGAGCAAACGGAGGTAAATTTGTCCCTCGTAAACTTGTCTAACCTCACTTCTCAGCCCCTAAAAGTAACTACAGCAAGGCCTAATTATAGCCAGTTAAGGGTGGACCCCATGCAGCATGTCAGCCAGGGAAGTAACTACAGCAAGGCCTAATTATAGCCAATTAAGGGTGGACCCCATGTGGCATGCCAGCCAGGAAAGGTCAGTGTCCCTATACAGAGAGGCTACGTCTAGACTGCAAGCCTCTTTCGAAAAAGAGCGTCTAGACTACACCCAGTACTTTGGAAAAAGCAAAGCCGCTTTTTCGAAAGAGAGCACCCAGGCAGTCTGGATGCTCTCTTTGGAAAAAGCACCGTTTGCATTACATCGCGCTTTTTCTCGAAAGAGCACGTTCGCAAAACGGCGTTCTTCCTCGTAAAACGAGGTTTTCCACGGTTAGAAAAACTGCCGCGGTCTTTCGATTTACTTTCGAAAGAACGCGGCAGCAGTCTGGACGCAGGGGAAGTTTTTTCGAAAAACGGCCACTTTTTTCGAAAAAAACCTCTGTAGTCCAGAGACATCCTAAGAGTCAGCCTGGTTATCCACAGCACACAAAGTCCACCACTAGGACTGGCACCAAGGGGCACTGCCAGCAGAGGCCAAGCCCTCCTCCCCCCCACAGAGGCACATCCAATCAGTGGAAGCATGCTGCAAATAATATTCCCTCTCATTTTTCCATCCATGGGTGGAATAAATTTTGTTCTGTGCGCCAAAGCATGTGTGGATGTGCACCACCAGTAAAAACTGCAAATAATATTCCCTCTCATTTTTCCATCCATGGGTGGAATAAATTTTGTTCTGTGCGCCAAAGCATGTGTGGATGTGCACCACCAGTAAAAACTGCAAATAATATTCCCTCTCATTTTTCCATCCATGGGTGGAATAAATTTTGTTCTGTGCGCCAAAGCATGTGTGGATGTGCACCACCAGTAAAAACTGCAAATAATATTCCCTCTCATTTTTCCATCCATGAGTGGAATAAATTTTGTTATGTGCGCCAGAGCATGTGTGGATGTGCAACACCAGTAGAAACACCTGTTGCCGGTGCTCTGCTAAGCCGCTGAGTGGCATTGGACCCTCTCCTGGGTGGTCGTGCAAGTGCACAGCTTACAGGGAACACTGGCTACAATCCAGCCACGTCTATTGCTGCCCTGGGTTCGCTGCTACTTGAGCCATGAAGCGGGCCAGTGCATCCCAGCCAGGCTGGAGCCACGGACGCGCACAGGAACTGACTGACTCATCTGGGAGGAAGGAGCTTGCCACAAAGAAACAGCTGGCAATGGAAGCGGGACAGATACAGACTAGAAACGATGCCTCGGCTTAACAGTGAGGGTCACTGATCCTCAGAAAAACGAACCTGGAATGGGGGGGGTGACAGGTTACCCACATCAGAAGCCTTTAAATCAAGATGGGACAGCTTTAAAGAGACATGTGTGACAGCCTCTGGCTTGGGCTCTACAGGGAGTCAGACTATGGATTTGTCTACACTTGGCAGCTACCCAAAAGAGCCAATCTGGAGCAGCTCTAAGCTCCTGCATGGACGCTCCTGACAAGGTAAATCCACAGGGGGGCTTATACCAAAATAGTCCCGTGCTCCTCTTTGGGTACGTTTCCCACTGCAGAGGAGCCCTGGAACAGTGGCGGGCAACCACATGCAGCCCAATCAGGTTCTACGTGCAGCCCACGAGACATTTTATTTACCTTTGCTCGTGCAAAGTGGCCAGATTCTGCTGGTTTCTGTCCTTGTCGGGGTCCCCCCCCCCGGGGGTAACTAACGTGACACACACGTCCAGCAAAGGCACATGAAGTGAGGTCTGTGCTGATTGCAACACTGACTCAACACTGATCGTGAGAGCCGGGTGCTCCCTCTGCGTCCAACCATAGCGCGGCTACGGCGCCATCCGCACCTCCCGCACATTCTAGGGACACAAGCGCCGTGAGCAAAACTGCCCCGTCCCGGGAGACCATCTTGGTGGTAACAAACTTGTGGCCCTCCTGAAATGAAGAAAGATCACTCGTGCGGCCCACTCGCTAGCCTCGGTTGCTCATCGCTGCCCTATAGAGTCAGCATGGTCCCATCTTGCAATCGATGTATCTGGAGGGAGGGGACATACCCTCTCCTCTGAGATGCAGGCTAGAAAAGGTTTGAAGGGCAACTTTCATTTTTTA